GCGCGTCCCTGGGACAGTGACCTGGCTTGACCATGGAGCTCCAGTGGGGAGAGGAGGATGTCCCAGCCGGGGCCGCCTGCCATGGGCACCAGAGCTGAGTGGGAGTAGCTGGGAAAGAGGTGGACGAGACCCACGGGACGAAGCCCCAGAGGGGACGAGCAGAGCAGACTCCAGACGGACAGAGCTCAGCCCTCAGCCGCCAGCCGAGCACTGAGGAGGGAGACCGCAGAGGCCAGGAGCAGACCGCCTCGAGGGAGCCATCGGTGTCACCAGGCTGGGAACCCGCCTGTCCCTCCAGCCCTGCAGCCTGGCACAGAGTACCAGAGGGTTCTGCCTCAGGAGCAGGGCAGAGGCCGCTCCGGACCCCCGTCCTCTGGACTCGGACGCAGGCAGAAGTCAGACCTTTCCCAGTGGCGGCACGCCCACGTGAGGCACAGCGCACTGCGTGCTCCTAAGACGTTTAGACCAGAGGGGACAGAGTCCGCAGGTCGACCAAGCTGTGCAACAATAGCAAAAATACAGAAAGGGGAAACGGAGGACCACGTTCTGAGGAGCACTCACGGCCCACCGCCCGGCGGGCGTCAACTGAAGAGGGATGGTTTCGGGCACATACAGGCCCCAGACCACCAGAAGACAGCACAGCAAAATATGTTTTAAAAGGAAAGAGTGAACAGAGGATAGATGAGATAAATAAAAAATAGCTAGAAAGATGGTCAATTGAAACTCAACCTGTAAACAGTAGGTGAAATCTAAATGAGGTAAGTGTTCCAACTGAAAGGCAGAGGTCATCCCATCAAATCGACTTTTAAAAGCTAGGTCCAGCTGTGTGCTGGCTGTAGAAACTCTGACCGTCAGAAGAGGGGAGCACGGGCAGGCACGCTGACCTGGAGGAGCGAGAGCCGGGTGGCTCTATGGAAGGTGCACAGGGGACGTCCGCCCAGCCAGGATCAGTGGCTCCACTTCAGAAGGGGGGGGCGTGACACGGGGAGAGGGCGTGGAAAGGCCAAGCACCTCACGACAGCTTCGACACGCGTGAAAGACGGGCCTGAAGGGAGGGTTCTGTCCACACTGGCCCAGGACTTCAACGCCCATCACCAGTGGACAGAGCACATAGGCAGAAAATTAGTGGGACAGAGAGGACTTGAGGACATGTCAGGCTGGGCCAGTGACCCCCGCAGAGCACCACCCGCTGGCAGCCCAGTCCCCACTCCCAGGGAAGGAACTCCCAAGACAGGGCACACTCTGGAGAAGACAGTTCTCCAAACATCTGAGCAGATCCACGTCAAACAAGCCTGCTCTCCAGGAAAAAGTTAACTCAGAAGTGAAGAGCAGAAAATTAGAAGCAGACGATTGTGAAGTGCCCACAGTATTTAGAAACACTTAGTATTTCATCGTGTTTCAAAATAACCTGTGTCAAGGGACACTCAGTGAGTCCACTGGCAAGGGACACACACTCAGTGAGTCCACTGGCAAGGGACACTCAGTGAGTCCACTGGCAACTTGGAGCTGACTGAAATCTCCTCCTGGTGGGGAAGCTTCCCGGCACAGAGGGTGAGGCAAGTCCAGCTCATGGAGAGTCCGCCAGGCGGGGCCTCTGCTTGGGCACCAGGAACCACGACGAGAGGCATGGGAGGCAGAAGGCCACCGAGACCAGAGCAGACGTCAGTGGCACGGAAATAAGCAAAGAAGTGGGGAATTCATGACACTGGGACCCACTCAGGCCAACGTGCTGGATGATTGCCGTGAGGCAGAAATGATCCCTCCAGGAGCAACACCACCAGGTCCCCAGGAGCGACCCACCAAGTCCCCAGGAGTGACACCATCAGGTCCCCAGTAGAGACACATACCAGGTCCCCAGGAGCAACACCACCAGGTCCCCAGGAGCCACACTACCAGGTCCCCAGTAGGGACACATACCAGGTCCCCAGGAGCAACACTAACAGGTCCCCAGTAGGGACACACACCAGGTCCCCAGGAGCAACACTAACAGGTCCCCAGGAGTGACGTTACCAGGTCCCCAGGAGCAACACTAACAGGTCCCCAGGAGTGACGTTACTAGGTCCCCAAGAGGGACACTACCAGGTTCCCAGGAGCGACACCACCAGGTCCCCAGGAGCGACACCACCAGGTCCCCAGTAGGGACACATACCAGGTCCCCAGGAGCAACACCACCAGGTCCCCAGGAGCCACACTACCAGGTCCCCAGTAGGGACACATACCAGGTCCCCAGTAGGGACACATACCAAGTCCCCAGGAGTGACACTAACAGGTCCCCAGGAGTGACGTTACCAGGTCCCCAGGAGGGACACTACCAGGTTCCCAGGAGCGACACCACCAGGTCCCCAGGAGCAACACTAACAGGTCCCCAGGAGTGACGTTACCAGGTCCCCAGGAGCGACACTACCAGGTCCCCAGGAGCAACACCACCAGGTCCCCAGGAGCGACACCACCAGGTCCCCAGGAGCCACACTACCAGGTCCCCAGTAGGGACACATACCAGGTCCCCAGGAGCAACACTAACAGGTCCCCAGTAGGGACACACACCAGGTCCCCAGGAGCAACACTAACAGGTCCCCAGGAGTGACGTTACCAGGTCCCCAGGAGCGACACCACCAGGTCCCCAGGAGCAACACTAACAGGTCCCCAGGAGTGACGTTACCAGGTCCCCAGGAGCGACACCACCAGGTCCCCAGGAGCGACACCACCAGGTCCCCAGGAATGGAGGATCCATGAACAAAACTGAAATTGCACCTAAACCTTCCTTCGAAGAACATGCCAGGCAGATGGCATCCCTGGGGAAGGCAGCCAGGCAGGAGGGGAGAGACCCTCCCAGGAGGCCAGAGAAGCAGGCTGAGTCCCCAGGCACCCCAGGCCAGCACTGCCCTGAAGCCAAAGCCACTCTCAGGAAGAAGGAGCTTCAGACGTCATTAAGGTGCAAGCAGGAGGCTAACAGTCTCCTGACAAGATGGGAGGAGAAGAGGGTGCCCAAGTGGGGTCGACCAGGAAAGGAAGCCTGTTTCCCGGGGATCCATGCATGCACCTTGGGAATGGGATCTGGGAAAGGAGACCCATCTGATCATCTTCGGGGAGGCAGAGAGAGCGCTGCACAGCAGCTAGCGTCCATTCCCTCCTCACACACACGCTAAGCCAGCGGAAACAGAACCTCCTCTGTTGGATATAGGCATCCATCTGAGGCCCAGCTGATGATCTTCCACAGCAATGCTGACCACTGTCCTAGGCTCCGGAGGGAAAGGGGCGGGTCCTCGTCACCTTCACACAGAGCTGCAGGTAGAGCCGGGCCCCTGCTCAAGGTAAGGAGGAGGATGGCTTCACTTGCAATGGACACTTATCTCCAGAAAATCCTACAGGCCTCAGGAATGTGATTGCAGCCAATAATGAGCAAGAAACTGTTGAAGGATTTAGGGTAAAGATAAAAAAAAATGGGTAAAAATTTACATACTAGCAATGAAAATTAGGCACTGAAACTGGACATGCGATGACATCTACTTTAGTATGATCACTGTTACACAATGCAGAGTGGCTCTGTCAGCAGATTGGAAAGACCTGCTCACTTAGAGTTTAAATCCTGAGAAATGAGCAAAGGTCTATTGAGTGGGAAACCTTGCAGAGTCCTGGCTCTGAGGTCTCCATGTGGTCGGGAGGTGGCTTCTCCCTACATCATTATCCAGGGTCAGCACAGTCTCAACCAAGTTCCACCAGGCATTTGTCGTTGCAGAAATTGGAAGAGAGTTTTAAGTTCCCTTGGAATTTCAAAGTGTCTAGCTTAGCAGAACAAGTTTCAAGAGGGACGGCAAAAGGGGAGTGTTAGGGTTCGGATGTGAGGTGTCCCCAAAAGCTCATATGTAAGTGCAAGAAGGTTCGGAAGTTGGGTTAGGAGAGCCTTAACCTCATCACTGCATTGACCCCTGATGGGATTAGCTGGGTGGTGACTGAAGGTGGGCAGGTGGGGCTGGGGGCGGTGGCTCCCTGGGGCTGGGCCTCTGGGGCATGCGTTTTGTCCTTGTAATGGAGCTCTCTCTGCTTCCTGGTGTCCTGTCCCCAGCTGTCCTCCACCACACTCTTCTTCCATGATGTCCTGCCTCACCCAGCACTGAGGAATGGAGCTGGACTTCTGTGGACACCTCTGAAACGGTGAGCCCCAAATACACTTTTCCTCCTCGAAAATTGTCCTTGTAGGGTCTTTTGGTTACAGCAGCAAAAGGCCGACTACAACAGGGAGGGTCACACGGCGATTTCACAGCTCCCTGAGAAGGTGAGCAAGGAGACAGGGTGACCTCGACCCTGGGTGTGCAGACTGATCTCTAGAACCAAAGGCATGGCCCCGCAGAGACTCCCAACTTGGCCCCACCAATGCTCCACCGAGAGGAAATGGAGCTCAGTGTAGAGAGCGTTGGTGCTGGACAGCCGAAACCTTAGGTAAAGACGATAATTACCACCCATACCTCGTACTGCCTAAAGACTGAGATAAAATAGACCACAGATGGGATGCCAGATACAATACTGGTAGAAGTCATAGGGAAACTGTGCACCGGAGCTAGGCACAGACGCTCTGAACACAGCAGCATCAGCACGACCCAACTCCAAATGAAGAACACATTGTCGTCAGAAAACACGGACCTGCAGAACTAAAAATAAAAACCTCAGGCAGAGAGAAAACATGGGTGAATCTTGTCTCTGAAAAAAGGCTTATGCTTCAAATATAAAAGAATTCCCAAAAGTCCATCATAACAAAACAAGCAAACCCCAAAATAGTCTAAATATGAACAAAGGATTTGACCAGACACATCACCATGGAAGACACATGGATGGCAATGTGTCCACTTTAAATGTGCTCAGATCCTTGGCTGCTCAGGAAATGCAAGCTGCGACCGTGGCCTGGTCCTCCACACATCATCTGCTGGACAGCTGACCTCAGAAGACCAGCCAGGCGCTGGGGGAAGTGCAGGGGAGGTCATGTTGCATTCAGACTTGACCCAAGCAGGGTCAGCATGCACAGGGCTCTGCCCAAGCACAGAACTGGACTGGACAGCTCCTGCCTTACACCCCGAGGGTAGGAGCCCAAAGCCATAAAGAGGCAGAGAGTCCCTCCTTGGCCTTGCCCCTGGCCCCTGAGGCTGCAGTGTCTTTTAGGAAGAGACTGCTTTCTTTAAGTGGTAAAAATGTCATGGCTGACCTTGAGCGTAACTTCCCACTGTATTCCACACGCAGGCCTTTCAGCAGCCCGGGCCGAGGGGCTGCCCAGCAGAGGGATTCAGAAGCCCACTCGGCTGGCTCCTGGGAGCTGGGCTGGATTAACAGTTCCTCCAGGCCAGCACGGGAGAGCACATTCAGATTTATGGCCCGTCTACATGGTAGCCTCAGATGGAAACCAGATGTGCCTATGATTTCTTGCACAAGTTGCAGGTAAGTTATTTAAAATCTCATTTTTCTAAGCCGTCTTCATTTTAAAAGGAGAGTTCTCTGGGAAGTACTTCACGTGGTATTTACCAAGGATCCACAGTGAGCCAGACCCCAGACTAAGTGTTTGGCTACATTAATTAATCATTATAACGAGGCGGAAAGTTTTGAGATTTTGCCTGTATTTCATAAAAAAAGGGATCCGGGGGTCAGAGATTCAAGAGTGAATCAGATTGAACCGAGGGTTTTGATGAGGCCAGGGCTCTCTCCACACCCTCTGGTGTCTATTTTAGGCTTAGTGAAAAGAGGTCTGGAAAATTCATTTGCCCATTTGGAGGTGAATTTGATACATTTCCATTACTTTAAGTGGTAGGGAAAATCCTGAAAGGGAAATGGGGAGCCGGGAGCCGGGGCGGCAACCCCAGGGGCCTTCAGCGGGGCTTCCTCCTGGTCCCTGGCAGGTGCTCCCCCCATGGCATGGATCTCGGTATTGAAATTTGTCTCCTTGTATTTAGTTAGTGAATATCACCACACATCCCTTCCAAAATACTCCGGGGCCAGAACTTGTGCCTTTTTAGGCATGATCAGGAATGGATCTCACTAATTAACGTCTTGTGTTTTTCCCATCAGTAAATTTATCATAAATAGTGTCTCTCAAATCCTCAGTTTGTTCCTCCTTGTAGGCAAGGCTGGGCTTCAGCAGCTGAGCTTTTAAAAGAGATTTGTTTATGGAAAGGTTTTTCCCAAAATGTTGTATGCTACTCCTTCTCAGAATAAGTAACTCAAAAATGTTCTTTAAAAGTATTTTAAAGGTTCCATAAATGCAGTTAGCCTTGTGCCTTGGGCCAAGGCAGAGTTTTGAAATATTAAAAGAAAAGACTACATATTGCATGACTCCTTTTCCAGGAAGTGCCCAGACTGTGCAAATCCACAGAGACACAAACAGATTTGTTGCCACGGGGCTGTCTTGGGGAGGCTGGGAGCAGTGGGTTGTGATGGCCAAGAAGCTGGGCTCCTCTGGGGACGGCACAAAGACCTGGGCTTGCAGGTGCAGGAACTGCCCTCCATAAAGATTTCAAAATGCTAACTTCCCTCACCTGGGTGCATATGTGTGATTTTAGTATTTAAGTAGTTAGTATTTGGGTACCAGGAATTGCACCCAAGGGCACTTGACCACTGAGCCACATCCCCATTTTCATTTTTGAGATGGCATCTCTCTAAGTTGCTTAGGGCCTCACTAAGTTGCTGAGGCTAGTTTTGAACTTGTGGTCCTCCTGCCTCAGCCTCCCAAGTCACAGGATTGTAGGCATGCCCTATCACATCCTGCAGTATTTTTAGATGTACTGGAATTTCTTCAATGAATTCTGTTAAGTTCACAGATATTTGGGTTTTGTGTGAGTTTGGGTTAATCTTCTGAAATTTTTTTTCCAGTTTTTATCCTAGCTTCAAAAGGCATGAATTCTGACTTTGAAGCTTCTTGGTGACCTTGGGTGACTTGTGGGATTTCTCAGTGGCTTGTATTCTCCATCCACAGAAGAGGGCTGCAGCTGTGCAATTGTCCGGAGCCAGGTCGTATTTTGCTTCCTGTTTTGCTCTTCTGCACAAGGTACTCTGGCTATTTTGTGCTCTGAGATGAATCTGACTCTCTTCCTCCAGGTCTGTGGAGAGTGTCACTGTGTGTTGATGGCAGTGCATCTGTGGATTGCTTTGGGTATTGTGGACCTTTGGACAATATGAATCCTGCCAATCCACGAACAGGGGACGTCTAGTTTTTGTTCTCTTCAGGTTCCTTCAACAATGTTTTATAGTTTTTATTATAGAGATCTTTCACCTCTTTGTTTAAATTTGTTACTAGTTTTTTTAAAAATCTATAATAAATGGAATTTCTTTCTAGCTAACTTTTTCAGATAATTCAAAATTAATCAGAAATACCACTGATTTTTTAATATGCTGATTTTGTTTCGTACAACTTGGCTGAATTCATGTATCAGTTCTAATAACCTTTTGATGGATTCATTGATCTTGTCAAATGGATAACATAGAAAGAACTGGAATAAGCACTGAAAGACAAATGTCACAGGATCTCGTCACTGGAGATCTAGAGAAGCTGAGAGTGGAATAGTAATTGCCAGGGGCCCGGGAAGGGTGGGGAGAGACTGGTCAGCAGTACAGTGGGGGGTAAGTGCTGGAGTCCTGCTGCACAGCAGGTGGACGCAGACGTGACAGTGCACTGCATATTTCAAAATCTGAAGAGACAGACATGCTTACCCAGAATTGAACATTACACAATGTCTGTGTGTGTCAAAATATCACACAGTACCCCATAGACATACTTGATTTTGTGTGACAATTTTTTTTACAAATTCAGAAATCATTCTACTCCTTCTTTTCTTACCACCCACATATTTCAGTGCATACCCACCCACATGACTAACAATTTCTTCCTGGAAAAGACTTCAGAAAAACAGAAAAGAAATGCTGTTTTACATATAGATGTGTATGTTATGAGAATCCATCGATTAAAGAAAACAGTGAATACTGTGTATCGTAGCTTCTTAAAAAACTTCAGATGTCCGTGTCTGAAAGTGTCTCCAGGAAGGTTGGGGCTCGAAGAGCTTCATGTCACTGCTCCAGAAGAGAAGTGAAGAGAGACTCACTCTGTGCCCTAAAATAACGTGAATCGGTGACTTTACAGGATTAAGTGTCGGTTAGCGACTCACACAGGACCACACGTTTGTTGATCAGGCAAAGCTAAGTGTGTGAAGGCACCGCAGCAGGGCGACGTCCACTCGGCATCTTAGTTACTGGGTCAGAAGCGGGACGAAATTGTAGGTTAGCGAGACTCCTTCAATGTGAAAATTGATTGGAACTGGAAAAGGCTTATAATGTGATGATCAAGTGTGTGGACACAGAGAAGTGCAAGGTCGAAGTGTGTCATCCTAAGAGCTCTTCCACTCGGCAGCTGGACATTTTGCTCAGGTCACCAACGTGTTGATCTGAGAGAAGTCTGACAAACTGTTGCTCTGAGTCAACTGGTCTACAGAATTTTCTTGAACCAAACGCTAAAGTTACATCTAAAATGTCACTTTAAGGTGAGTACAACACCCGGGAAACCCACTCATCATCACAAGGCACTGGAACCCAGAGCCTGGCCAGCGTCCAAAGAAAGTAAGAACAAAACTCAGAGTCTCTCTGGTTATTTGCACTAGAACGAGCGTGAGAATGTTGAAACCAGGAATCAGGTTGAAAACGCGAGGTGGCGGGAGAGACAAGGTCAGGACAGGAACATGTCGCCAGCTCCGTCAGGAGGCTGAGAGGCTTGAACATCCCAGAACCCATGCCAGCAAGGAGTTGAGAGGAGACTCAGGAAAACGGGCAACAGAGGCATTTGGATGAGGCCACGGATCTTTAGATCCGGTCCCTGCCAAGGTCCGGTGGGTTTTGGTGGAAGCTGCCTACACCTCCATTGGCTCCTTCATCTGAAGCACGCTGTCCTGTCTGCTGCAAGTGGTCTCACCAGGACTCCTCTCCTGCCCCGGGGTGTGGCTCACAACCCTGCTGCACATTTCCTCATGAATGATGATGCAGGTGTCCCTGGGTCTAATTTAGCTGCCAGGCTGGGGGTCCTTGGCAGTGCCTAGGGTCCTTCAGCAGGTTTAGGCATTTCTTATCGTTTTCTTAAATGACAGCATTTTGAGGCTGGGGTCTAGCAGAAGTTTCCAAGGGGGAACTGGGGCGAGGCGGGTTGTCCCTATTGGCTGTGAGACTGTCATAAGGCATGAACACATGCTCCATGTAGCTGGAAACTGCAGGGACAGATACCTTACATAACAGTGACATCTGTGACAGTTCTCTATAACGAGGGTTTGTGGCAGCCAGAATGTGGACTCGGGCTGGCGAGAGGGAACTGTCCTCACTGGGGTCACCTGGGATGGCAGCGACCCAGTGGCTTTGAAGGTGAGGTGGTGCCCAGCCTCTGGTGACAGCCACCAGACTGCAGACGGCGCTCATCCCTTGTCCCGGCACTGGGAACAAGCATGATCCTGTTAACTTAGGTTTTCTTTCTGTTTTTTATTTGTGTGTTTCTGTAGCTGTGAATCTCTGACCGCTAACAGTGCCTGGGAAAATCCAACAGTGAGCAGGACGCAGTGGACACTCACTGTACGTGTGGTTATCTGGACGACATAGGGGCTAGGGGCCAGCTGCCCTTCCATCTTCTGCCTTCTGCGGCTCAGCATGAACCTGCTGCAACACCTCGTCCTGCAACGGCAGCGAGGGTCCTCGTCCAGGCTGAGAGGAGGCCACTCCTGCTGTGCAGAGCAAGTCCTGTGAAGCGCTGTGCGAGGTTCCACCTGGGTCCTCGGGCACCCCGACCCGTCACAGGGCCGCCTGCAGTTCGCCACCAGATTCTGCACAGCACTCCTGATACCAAAGCCAGACCAGTATACAGATTCACGGTATAGAGAGGACACATGTCACCGTCCTCGTCCCGTCTCGCCATCCCTGGATTCCTGGGTTCTTTCTTACCCTTTGACTCCAGTGAGTGCTGCTCTGGTGGTCCTGAGGCTCAGCACCAGGACAGGACGGTGCCGCTGGGCCTCCGACGTGGCCGTGGGGACCCGCGGCTGGCTCCTCTCCCTGCCAAGTGGCTCTCACTGTGTGAAAGCACCGTGGTTCCTGGGTCCATCTGTGCTGAAGGACGACGGGCTGTCTGTGGCAAGAGGCAGTGGGGAAAGCTGTGGTGGGCTCTGCAGAGGCCTGTGGTGGGTGGCAGGAGCTCTCCGCCCACTCGGGAGCACGTGGGGAGTGTGTCCAGGCCTTCGGGAGAAGCTGACACGTGCCAACCAGGTGCAGTGCCCCCTGAGCTGAGGATGAGCGTCCTGTGGTCCGCAGACACGCCAGTCAGGAGCGAGGGACACCGAGGAAGCACTGGGCCAAGGGTGACATGCAGGTGGCACCTGCAGCTCCAAGCCATCTTGTCTGTGATTCACAGAAGACTTTGCAGGACTCCAGATATCGGTTGGAGGGACAGTCCCTCCGTGGACCAGGCTCGGGCGGGTCTACAGGCTCCTCTCCTGCCCGTGCCTTGTGCTGTGTGGAACTTTCTCCGGGAGTCTTGACGTCTGCCCTTCTGCATGGGGGCTACAATACCTGGAGGGTCCCCACCTGCCCGGTGAGCAGGTATAGGCCAGGGCTCCTTCTTGGGCACGTGAACCCCCGCTGTTTCCACACCATTATTTATAAGGCTCTTTTTCCATGAAAACGCCTGCCCTTCGCAATTCCCTTGTCCACAGCGGTGTGAGTCTGTTCCTGGATTCTGTCTCCCCCGTGGCCCATGTGTCCACCGTAACCACAGTGCCACGCTGTATTTATTACTGTGGCTGAAGGTCAGTCTGGAAATTGGGTCACGTGAGCTACAGAAACTTGTTTTTCCAAAATGGATTTGGTTTTTCTTTGTTTTATCCTTCCAGAATGATTGTGGCTGTTCTAATTCCTTCCCCTTTCTACTAGAAGTTTAGACTCAGTTCGTTGATTTCTACCGGGAAGACCTGCTGGGATTTGGTGGGGGGACACTGTGGCCGGGGACAGCGCAGGCCTGGGAACCCTGAGCCCCGACTGTGCATGACTCGATTTCTTCAGGCTCTTTCTCCTTCTTACACTGATGCTCTGGAGACTTGGGCACAGAAATCCTGGACGCATTGGCTGTATTCTAGCTGATCATCCACTTGTTCCAGAGCCGTTGAAAATGGTGTTTTAAATTCTAAATGCTCGTTTCTGGCATAGACGTGTTTTGGTTTTTACATAAACTGTTTAATTTCTGGCACAGAGGTATTTGTGATTGTGTCAGTTTTTGTCAGTGTAACCAAAACACCTGCCAGGAACAATTCAGAGGAGGAAAGGTCACTGTGACGGAGTCTCAGAGGTCTCAGTTGGTGGACGGCTGACTCCATAGCGGGGCCGAGGGAGGTCACACTTCATGGCAGAGGGGCCTGTGGAGGGCAGAGGCCCCGCTCATGGCGCCTGGACGCAGAGAGAGGGAAAGGGCCAGGGGCAAGGTATGATCCCCAGGGCACACCCCAGTGACCTGCTTCTCAACCCTGCCTCCCCCTCCTGAAGTCCCACCACCTCCCTGAAGTCCCACCCCTCCCTGAGGTCCCACCTCTGCTGAAGTCCCACCACCTCCCTGAAGTCCTCCACCTCCCTGAAGTCCCACCCTTCCTTGAAGTCCCGCCCCTACCTGAAGTCCCACCATCTCCCTGAAGTCCCACCACCTCCCTGAAGTCCCACCCCCTCCCTGAAGTCCCCTCACCTCCCTGAGGTCCCACCCCTGCTGAAGTCCCGCCCCCTCCCTGAAGCCCCGCCCCCTCCCTGAAGTCCTGCCCCTTCATGAAGTCCCGCCCCCTCCCTGAAGTCACCCCACCTCCCTGAAGTCCCCCACCTCCCTGAAGTCCCACCCTTCCCTGAAGTCCCGCCCCTACCTGAAGTCCCACCATCTCCCTGAAGTCCCACCACCTCCCTGAAGTCCCGCCCCCTCCCTGAAGTCACCCCACCTCCCTGAAGTCCCCCACCTCCCTGAAGTCCCACCCTTCCCTGAAGTCCCGCCCCTACCTGAAGTCCCACCACCTCCCTGAAGTCCCACCAACTCCCTGAAGTCCCGCCCCTACCTGAAGTCCCGCCCCTCCCAGCCAGGCCATTCCAATTATGTACCCACCACTGGGTTAGTCCACAGATGAGGCCCGGCTCAAGGTCCCATCATCTCATCCAAGCCTCACCTCTGCACATTGCTACATCGAGGCCAAACTTGTACACGTGGGTGTTGGGGAACCTTCTAGATCTGAACAGTACTGCAGTCTCACAGATTTGGGATGTTTCTCATTTTCTGATATAAGCTTTTAATATTCTAAATCCCCTCTAGCTTCCGGGTTATCTTACAAAATTTTATGCTCTTTTTAAATTTTGATTTAGTTAAAAATATTTTTAATTTATCCAAAGATCTTACTTTCTCTTTTGGTTGTTAGTCTTTTTAAAAGTATAAATAATTTTGCTCTTTGGTAGAGACTTCTACAAATATCAGTATTTCTTGGTTAATAGTGTTTATAGAAAAAATAAAAGAAATAATTAATGATCTTCTGTTTGTCAAAGTTTTCCTAATGGAAATACAAAAAAATTATACAATTATGAATGAAAACATAAAAATGATAGACAGACAGCCTGTGCCCAGGGAGGAGGTCAGGGCCAGTGGCTCTGTCCTCACACCTGGCATCTGCGGCACGCAGATGAGCTGTGCTCCTTCTTCTCTCCAGCCCTGCTTGGCCCGTGCGCTGCTACCCAGGGGACGCTCCACTAGAGAGCCAAGGCTGCCCCAGGGCTGGCACGGGAAGTGCCTGGTGAAGGCCCATTCCTAGAATCCACCAGGGAGCCAAGGGGCTTCTGACCTGTGTGGGCCGACCCTCCGTCTGCACCCACAAGGCCAGGACCCAGGCCCCAGCCTGCTGCTGTGCAGCAGCAGGAGATCCGGCCTCAGGCGGACCTGTGACATGGAGGAGGGCCCAGGGCGCCGCCAACAGCAGTCAGTGCGGAGCCTTGGCCGTTGCGCAACGCACACCCCAGACTGAGAAGGCTCCAGCCTCAAGTCATGGGAACGGAAGTCCAAGCAGCAAAACAAAGTTACGTAACCGGATGACAAAGCCAGGAGCCAAGCCGCAGATGTGGTGGGGAGGGCGGCCCAGCAGCCGGGTGTCCCCAGCTCCCGCCCTGGGGTGGTTCAGAATGTGTCGCGCAGGACGCAGGACGCCAGTGCCCAGGGACGGCTGGTCCACTGTGAGGGGGTTCAGAGGAGTAGAAGAATTAACGGTTGTAGTTCAGGTTTGTCAAATGGGGGATGTTCTGAAGCCGGGCTGCAGAAGTCAGGGCCTCAGCGCACAGTGGTCAGTGTCTGTGACTTAGGGAAACACCCCTGGCCGGGTGCTGGGGATGCGCACTGACCTCCCTCTGGGGGCCTCCAGTGAATGCCTCTCTGCGGTGACGCGAAGGAGCACCCGAGTTTCAAGTTTACAAAACTTTACAGTGTGGAGTGACTTCTCCTAACAGTGTCCGACGCTCCAGCTGCCGGGCCCTGGGCAGTCCAGCTGCCCTCCTGCTGGTGCTGTCTCCTTGCCCGCAAGGTGAAAGGCAGCCGTGCCAACAGAGGGTCGCTGCACCCGTGGGGAACAGCGCGGAGGCCGGGGCTTCCTGTCAGGTCTGAAGCCGCAGCTTCCCCAGGGCTCGGGCCCTCCACGCGGCTCTTTCCTTCCCTGTTCCCTGTAAACATGGGTTTCTAGGTAAAATAAGCCGGACCCAGTGAGCCGCGAGTGGGTGGGAGGCCATGTTGCGACTTGGGGGAAGCTTCAGGAGGAGGAGAGGTGGGGAAGTGAAGCAGGCAGTGGGCAGGGTCCTTCCGTCCAGAGAGGAGGGGTGCAGTGCCGACTCCTCCAGAGCCTCCTCCGCTGCCCTGCTCCAACCTGTGCTAAGCTGACCTGCCCCAGGGACTGTCCCTCCCTCCAGGGCATTAATTACGCCCCTTCCTGCCAGGCCACTCCAGCTTGGCCCTCCTGTGGCCATCCCACCGGGCATCGCCTGGGCCTGGTCAGGAGGGAGAGGGATGGGGAAGAGGCAGGAGAACGAAGGAAACCCAGGACTGTGAAAGGGGCAGAGGACACCCTCGCTCTGGACACCAGGACACCAGCTCTGGCCCTCCCCCCGCCCCCCGGGAGAAGTCTGGGACCCTTTTTAAACCAACTTTACCTCCTTGCCTTGGCGCTCCTCTAGTGCCACGCACGTCGGGAGCAGGACTCGCCACCGATAACTGGTGGTCTCCAAAGTCTGGGCAGGGGGCTTCAGAACCTGGAGGGCACTCCAGGCACAGGACACAGCCCAGGGCTTGGGGGCCGGCCGTGGGAGCCTGGGCTGACTCTGGAGAGCTGCGGTTCCTTGCCAGCCCACTAGGGGGCCTGTGACTGACCTTGGCCCAGGAGGACGAGGGAACGGGGAGGACAGCCACTTCAGCTTGCCCCATCCTGGTTCCACCAGCACCCCAGCTCCCACATGAGGGCAGGGAGCTGTGGACAGGCTGCAGGAGGTTCCGCCTTGGGGACACACAGGCTGGGGGAGCTGGGCGTCCACGGCTGCAGGACGGGAGCAGGCTCTGACATCACCACCGAGAGGCCACTGGGCGGCCGAGGTGCAGAGCCTTGTCCCCTGCATGGGTCACCTGGGTCAATGGGGAGCCAGGGAAGTCCCGGTCAGGTAGTGTCCCTGAGCAGCGGCCAGGTCATTGTGGTGGACGCTGGAGGAAGGCCGACCAGAGCAGGGTGCCGGGCGGCTCCAGGCCTGAGCCAGGAGGGCGGGGCTCTCTGGAAGCTCGGGCCTCCCCTGGGCAGCACCCACTGCGGGTGCGGGTGGCTTGGGTCTGCGAGGTGAGCACCGGGGCCTACAGCACCGGGGCCTGGGGGCCTGCAGCGGGAGCTGGTCAGGGAGAGGGTGGGTCTCTGTGCTGAGGCTGAAGTGAGGAATGGGCACATGGCCCGGGGGACAGGAGGGGCTGGCTCTGGGGTCCAGGGTGAGACGGAGACCGAGCTCCCAGACTGGGCGCCCTCCATCCGCGTGCAGGTGCCCGGCACAGAGTCGGGGTCTCCCTCTTACGCTCCGTCGTCTCCCTTCTGTCCACTCTGTCCTCTTCACTGTCCATCCAGTGTCCTGTAAGACTGGAGCTTAAACCGGACACCTGTTCTCTACAAGGTGGTCGGCTGCCTCTCCCTGACCCTCCCAGTGAGAACCCTGGACTCTGAGGCTGGAACAGCCCAGGAGCAGCACGGGAGCCTCTGGGTGGGGACAGTCAGGTCACGGCTGGGTCCACGGCTGACAACACACCAGCACAATTGGCCCAGAGGCTCGGCGTCTGCACAGATGGCCATTCTGGTCACAGAGGCCTGGACTCTCCCCTCCCCAGAGGGCTCAGGGTCTGAGGGTCCTTCTTCAGCCATGGAAGGAGCTCTGTGCACCCAGGTCTGAGAAACCCTCAGGGACAGAGGCAAGGGAAGGACGGCTTGTATGAGGAAGGGCACTGAAGGCATGTCCAGCTCAGGGGGACGCGTTCTGCCGCTGTCCAGCAGGGGCTCCCAAGCAACTCTCACAGGAAAAAGGGCATCAGTTGTATTCTCTTGAGATAAATGAAAACATGGAAAATCCCAGCAAGAACAAAGAAGTCAAAAAACCTGACTAAGTGGACGTCGTAGAGACGATTCAAGTACAGGGACCAAAAACACTCTCCGGATGTGCTCAGCGGAGAACTGACACTGAGATGACAGAGGACAGTCTGTGACCTCAGGAGGTCAATAGCATCCTCCCAGCCCACAGCTAGAGAAAAAGACCCAGGAAAATGCGCAGAATTCCAGGAACCCAAGGGCGACCCCAGGATTCAACCTGCTTGCCACAGCGTCCAAGGAGGGGTGCAGAGACGCGGCCCAGCCTGGGGGCCGGTCAGGAGACTGAGCCGGCTCCAACACACACCTGGACGTGGCCACCAAGAACACCACCGGCCTTGCCAACTGAGACAACATCCTGTTACGTGCAGATGCGAGGCGTCCCCAGAGGCTCACGTGGGAGGGGCGCAGGAAGGTTCAGAGGAGAGACGACGGGGCCAGGAGGGCCCTCACCTGGTCAGTGCACCAGTCCCCTGTCAGGGATGAACGGGGGTGACCGTGGGCAGGGGCTGTGCTGCAGGAGGTGGCCCGGGGTGTGCCGTGGTTCACTTCTTGTCCTTGTTGAGAAGAGCCCCCTCCGCTT